TAAGTAAGTCATCCAGTTTCAAAGCTGACCTCGATTCAATTAACGAACTAGCTGTACCTTGAAAATCTTCCCATTCGCGTTCAATGGCCTGATCTAATTTGGAAACGACCATGTAAATGATTAAAGTGTCCCATGAATCTGTTGGTTCACCTAACGTTTTAAGGGCACGCAAATTTCTCAAAACAATATCTATTAAGTTCCTAATCTGGGAAGCGGACTCTTTATTTAACGATGGAATTTTAAATAATGCCTTCACATGATTATGAACCAATAGTCGCGGATTATTAAATCTATTCTCTAATAGCTCCCATGCGTGAGAATAGTTGTTAGCCGTAAATTCTAATGCACCTATGACGTGTGCCGCGGTACCGGACAATGACGATTTTAAATAATGAAATTTTTGAACAGGACCTAAATCATCGCGATCATGAATCATACTAACGTAAGAATTTTTAAACTCTAGCCAGCAATCGTATGAACCGTCAAAGAAAGGTATTTTAATATCGGGTAACTTTATGCCTATTAGCTTACATGTTGAAACACTAGACTTGTCAGCTACTTCCTTTCTCAATAAAAGTTTTGCAGAAGCTACAGCACAATAAAATTGATTTTCGAAATGATCTCTCTCTTCCAGCTGTTTTACAAGATCGAGATCTTCCGCTACCTCTTCTTCAATTTTAGTCTGTATTTCACTATACATCTCTATCAAACTCGAAGTACTCTCGACACGTAAATTTAATTCTAATGACTGTTGTTCAGTCAAGGGTAAAGTGAACTTTTTAACATAATTTTCAAACAGAGTTAATCGACCTTTTAAAACTCCTCTTTTCTTAATTAAATCTGACAATTTGGGCTCACTCATTTTGGGATTTAAGGAAATCAAGAGTACTTACAGTTGCCAATTTGTATATGCGTGCGAACCAAGGTGGGTGCCGTTGCGCAGGTAGGTACCGCCACTTGAGCACTGGAAATGGAATATCAGCACGAAATCAACACCTATCGAAGGATGAGATGGGGAAACGGACGGGAAGTTCAAACCTGCCACTCCTGTCTGTCGATGCCTTAACGTTGCAGCTCTTCGCTCGATACGTGAATCTCCTCTTCGTATTTTGATGCGACGAATCTTCGGAGATTCCAAGCTTGAACTCCTTATTCGGCTCGATAGGACCACTTTATGTACAGGAACGGTAGGCAGGTGCTCTTCAATGAATTGATTTATTGAACGTTTGTTGGTTATATTTAAGTCGTCTTATTGCTAACAGTGTGTATCAGGTAATAATCAAAATTTAAAACAGACAGATCTTATAACTAATTGCACGACGTGCTGTGATTGGTTGCTAACAATGACGAGCTCTGATTCGTAGCTAAAAGTTTGGTGTTCCGGTGCGTCGCTAGGTGGCGTTAGAAGTCGCGCCAACACATTTCAAAAATTAAATTATTTAGGTACTTTTACTTACAATTTGTGTGACGTTTGAATTGTTGAACTGCGAAGTAATTTCCTCCCAAGCTTCACTTTTTTTTCTAAGAGAAATACCGTCCGTCTTTCTGTTCTCTATAACATTGATTTGGGCTTGAACCAGTTGTATCAGCAATTGTTTGTCGTACTCCGAGTAAGGCTTTTGTTTCCTTTTTTGCGCTTTCCATTTTAATAGTTTAGTGCTTGGGAGTCCGTAAAAGATTAGCCGTGAGTCAGTCGTGTAGCAGGTACAAAATCCGTTAAACAGGTAGCCGTGGTCAGTCGTAAAAGAAGGTACAGAGTCAGTTAAACAAGCCGGGTTGAAAATAGGGATAGGGAAGTATCGTTCTATTTTTTAAAAAGGTAATTTAATTCGAAACAGCAACTGGCGTAGAATAGAATAAACCAAAGTTTTTAGGTGATTGGTGATTGGTGCGTAAGGCGGTGGTCTCCTACAAACGCCGTCGGCCGCTTACAGCGTCACGCCGTACGCCGCGTTACAATGCTTACTATAGAAATGTACTGTTGTGGTCTCTTTTACACGCTGACGTCGGCGTATGGACGTCGTAGGCGGCGTAAGACGCTTTGCGCTGCGTCTCTAGTTATTTTGAACCATTGCAGCGTGAACGTCGTGTCTAGCGTCAGTACAAAATGGCCAAATTTAATAAAGAAAAACTTTTCTTCAACCGATATGGGCTTAGGATGCCTTTTTGATGGCACTTTTATTACATACTCCTGCACAAGCTCTACAATATGTTTAACTTGTTCTTGATTAATACGAAAATATTCAGTAAATTTAGAATCGCTGTCTTTTAAGTGTTTCATTATCAATAGCTGGAAACATCCTTCCTCATTTCTCTTCATAAATAATCGGTGCCTTGTTGCCTTTATTTTTCTTCGTATACGGTCGTCTTGTGCCTCTTCTTCAAGTAACACAAGCGCCGCCAAAAGTGTTGAATTTATATCCATTTTATGAACAAATATCACACACAACCACACGTGAGCACTGTCGGCTACTTACTGTTGTTTGATCGAAAGTCTAGACGTCGTCCGTTGCTAATATTATGTATTGACCGCTGACGCTGTGCCTGGCGTTCAGACGCCGATCGGAACGTTTACGCTGAAGTCGGACGTCGCGTATAGCATTTAATAGGAGACCGTAGCCTGAATGACTTTAGTGTTACCATAGACAATTCTAATTTTTCCTTTGGATTCATTTTTAAAATACATTTTTATCTAAGTAAAAAAGCACATAACCTTCAAAATAATTTTAATATATATATATATATATAAAAAATATGTCATAAATTTTTTTGGTTTTTACAGAAATGATAACAGCATTAATGTTAAATTTTTACGTGAAAGTTTTACGATTTCCTTAATTGCATGAAGTTCTCTCCAACCTGGCATCATTGCAGTTGAGAGAATACGACAAAGTTAAAGAGTTATCAGTTGTACGTAATGTAAAATAATTTTGGACCATTACTTTTGTTAGGGTAATATCCTGAGTTTTTCTTAAGTCGTCAATTTGGTTGACTCAGGCTTTGCTTAGCGCGCACTCAGCACGACTTCGAAGTTAGTTCTATAAATACCGACATTGTCTTAGCTCGAAAGTAGAGTCTGAGCAAAGTCAAAGTACGGTTTATAGATCTCAGCCTTAGTGCTACCGAGTGTTCGTTTTTTCCTAGTTCCATTGCCTCCACATATCGGGCTCGTGAAGTCCGTTATACAGGTGAAGTTAAAGGCTGTGAAGGACAGTGTGCCCTGTGTTTCTGGTGCGATTTATCTGAGAAGGAAAAGGGGTAAAAGGAGTCCGCAAGTAAGGACTGTCATTGGTTGGCTGACGCTGGTAGGGCCGCGGATGGATAAAAACACAGATTACCTCCTAATAGATACCGCATCATGGAATATTTGTTCTGTTTCAATTTCACCAAATTTCGGGTTGCGGGGGACGTATCATATGATCTGTGATTGGATGATTCAAGGTTGAACTTAGAATACTCCGAACCATAGTGATGGGACAAGGTTGGGATGTTGATTGATAAATTTGGGATTTATTGATTATTGATAAATAAATGAATTGATCAATTTTTATTTAAATTTATTAAAAAATAAAACAGTGTATATACATAAAAGAAAATATATATATATATATATATATATATATATATATATATATTTGTACATGTAATCTAACGATTTCTTGAATTTACGCGAACACTACACATTGAATAAAACTATATAATTATATGGAGTTTAGTGTTTAATTAATTTATGGTCACGGGGAGGGGGGGAACTTAAATATTTGACATCTCAATATCATAGTTAGCTCGGCTATCTTCACTTTTAGTATATTGATTTTTGGTCGCGATCTAAATAAAACGAGCTTACAGTATCTTGAAGTCTTGCAGTGGTATGCTTGGTTTTGGATAGATTTTGTTAATTATAGGATCCCAAGCAGATGGCAACATCCATCCACCGACTGTGGCCGGCTTCACTCGGTTGCTGTGACGTAGGCTTGGGACCCAAAGCTTGTTGTCTTGCAGTACTTGATTGACATGCTGAAGCTCGGCAGCCAGATGTATTCTGTCACAGATCCTTTGTGCTCTCTGAAACAAATATTTACCCACAGTAGCAAACAATGAAGAATGATGGTGAGATTCACCATTTAAATATCGGTTGGTATAGGCTTTTTTCCTATATATAGTATGACCAATAGTGTTATCAGGATTTCGGATTACTAAAACATCTAGGAAAGCTAAAGTATTATTTGCTTCTAACTCCATCGTGATTTGTATTTTGAAGCTTATGGAGTTAAGATGGTCTAAAATTGCAGTTGATTTGTCAGACGGTTAAATTTTGAAAGTGTCGTCTACGTACCGCTTGTAGAATCTTGGATTCATAGGACAGTAGAAGGGTTAACGCGACTATAGGAAATACAGGTGAGCCCATCGCTACACCATCAACTTGCTTATAGAACTCTTCCTTTTACAGCAGATAGTCAGATGTGAAGCAGTGTTTGAGTAATACTGCATATTCTGCAGGCATGTTGTTATCTTGTAGCTTTCTAGTTACAATTGAGAAGCAGTCTTCAATACGTAGGCTTGTGAATAGTGATTGAACACCAAAACTGACCATAGTTTTATTGTCAGCGATGTAGGTCTTTTATCTCACTAACAAAATGGTGTGAATCCTTTGTGTGTGTTCTGGTATGTCCTTTCGGTGGTGACAGTATTTTTGCCTAGTGTTGCACCTAAAAGTAGTATTATTAATTAAAAACCTTACGGTACGTGCTTCAAATTTAGACGTACTTAATAATAATAGTAATAATGGCGTAGGGAAGTGACGACCCCATCGCTCGTTGACGTGACGGTTATGTGACAAAACCGCTACGTCCGCGCAGTCAGTCAGCACCTTGCCAAGAGGTTTGAGCGCTGTGCCTCGGCAAAAATTGATGGTGCAAGGGCCCGCTTGTGCATATGGCCTCACCATGAAACGACGCCGGGTCTGGGCGTCTCCCGTTAAATGACGCCCTGTATGGATGATGGAACACAGAAGATTGCGCAAAGGGCCGCTACCTGGAGGTCGTCAGGGCGCGTCTGGAGCTGGCGCTGGACGCGACAGCATGCGAACCGCCAGCCGAGCGCGAGGTGCTGCACGACCACCCAGCAGCCCCTCGCATCCATCATCCCCACCAGCTTGCTTGGTGTCGGCAGGGTCTTCGCAGACCCAGCAATCGGCACCCGCCACTGGTGGAGTACGCCGCATGCGATGGACCATCAATATGAATTCAAACGCACTGCGGGCGTATTTTAGGGCGAAAGGGGGAGAAATTGGAGGTTTCGCGTATCGGGCTAGGATGCATCGTCTTTTTACTGAGCTGGAGCCATCTATTACTGTCACCGAGCAGAACCTGGCAGACCGAGTTCGGTATATCTTACGCTCAAATATATTTGATGGCGCCGAACTCGAACGGCTACGACGTGAGGCTGTTCCCTCATCAAATGAAAACGCTACGACTGGGGGTGCGGTGCCACAAGTTGCAGAACAACCCGCACACGTGGATGCCGCCGAGAATACCCCAGTGGTTGCTGATTCAAATGATGATGGAACATTCACCCAGGAACTAGAAATAGAGCAAATGAGGAGTACATTGGAAGAGGCGATTATGGAAACGCGCAGTACGCCTCTCGAAAATCGACCGCGACTTCCCCGCATAGCCCTAAGCAAGCGGAATCGGGCTGTCGTGAGGGCTCTGAACCCAATGCTGGTGACCTATTTGGAAGCCAGCCGGGACCTTTGTGAGACGGACTCAATTCTCTTTGGCGCCGCACTGGCAGTCTGCCGTATTATTGGCGCCAAACTTTCCACGACTGGTCGCACTACTGGACAAAGTAGTGCTATCCCAGCCTGGAGAACAAGAATTGAAGAACGTATCGCAAAGGCTAGGGCCCTCATCGGCAGACTGATATGCTTCAGGTCAGGCAATACCAGGCCAAGGATTGTGCGCACCGTCAGGATGGCGTTTGCTTGTTAGTTTGCTCAGCCGGATATAATGCAAAAACTGACGGAGCGCATAGACGACCTGAAGCAGAGAATCGCTGCTTGGGGAAAGCGAATTCGGCGATATACCGAGAGGTCGACACGGTTCAACCAGAATCGTCTCTTCCAGAGTGATCAGAAGAGGCTCTATAAATCATTGGAGCGACCAATGGTAAGTGGAACGGGCCCAGTACCGAATCAGGCCGACACGGTCGCATTCTGGCGCAGCCTGTGGTCAGAGCCCGTAAACCACAACGAGGGCCCTTGGACGGAAGTTGTGGCGAGTCAGTGTGCGGGTATTACGCCCATGGACCCCGTCACCATAACGCCGGATGACGTAGCTGAGGCGGTCCGTAGGGCCCCGAACTGGAAAAGTCCGGGACTCGACGGGCTGCATCACTACTGGATGAAGGGGTTCGTGGTGTGTCACACTGTGCTCGCCCGACAGTTTCAAGAGGTTCTCAACCAGAAGTCGCTCCCGAGCCTCTTCACTACTGGGATCACCCATTTGGTTCCTAAAGGCCAGGGTACCACAGACCCGAGCAAATACCGCCCCATCACATGTCTACCGACCATATACAAGACACTAACATCCATTTTGAGCGCGAGAATCACTCGTCACCTGGACTCAAATCAGGTGATGTCGCGCGCTCAAAATGGATGTCGGGGCGGCGGTCGTGGAACCAAGGAACCACTCCTCATTGACGCGGTCATTGGCAAAGTGGTGAAACGCAACCGTCGGAACTTCTCCGCCGCCTGGATAGACTACAGAAAGGCATTCGACTCGGTGCCCCATACATGGCTAAAGAGAGTCCTCGAACTGTACAAGATAGACTGTACAGTTAGAGACTTCCTCGAGCAGTGTATAGGGCAGTGGAGTACGATCCTTTGTCATCTGGGCGAGCAGATGATGGCTGCGGAGAACCACATAAGGATAAGAAGGGGTATCTTCCAGGGCGATTGTCTGAGTCCAATATGGTTCTGCCTCTCTCTGAACCCTCTCAGTACCTTACTGGAGGGCTCCGGGAGGGGATTTCAGCTACGGAAAGGAGGGACAAAAGTGACCCACCTTTTCTATATGGATGACCTCAAGTTATTCGCCTCCAGTCGCTCCCATCTTATGGAATTGCTAAACATCACTTGTGAATTTAGCAATTCCATTGGAATGGAGCTGGGGACGGATAAGTGTGCGGTCCTCCATGTTGAGAGGGGTAGGGTTGCTAACTCTGAGGGCATAGACTTATCTATGCCCGTCAACTTAAGGACCCTTTCCGAGGCTGAAACATACCGATACCTGGGTATGTCACAGAACATTGGTATCGATGAGGCTGGTATGAAACAGTCAGTTTGCGACGTGTTTTATGCACGCTTGACCAAAGTGCTTAACAGCCTTTTGTCCGGTGTGAATAAGACACAAGCATATAACGGCTGGGTCATGCCTGTCCTCATGTATACCTTTGGCATACTCAGGTGGACTCAGACTGAACTTAACGCCCTGGATAGAAAAGTCCGCACTACCATGACGTCCCACAGGATGCATCATCCGAGATCGTCGGTAATGAGGCTGTACTTGCCGCGAAAGCATGGTGGGCATGGCTTCTTGAGCGCGCTCACCATGCATAATCGCGAAGTGTGCAGCCTCCGTAATTACTTCCTGGCGAGATCGGATGATCCATTCTATAAGGACGTCATTTCTTGTGATAAAGGACTTACCCCTCTATCCTTAGCCAACGAGCAATGGCAAGACCCGGCAGTGCAGACAATTTCCGACCGGGAGACCGTATGGAAGGAGAAGGAGCTCCACGGGAGGTTCTACAAGTCTCTACATGGGCCTTTCGTAGACACAGTAACCTCTCTCCACTGGCTACGCTTTGGTGACCTCTTCGGGGAAACCGAGGGTTTTGTCTGTGCAATACAGGATCAGGTTATTAAGACCAACAACTATCGGAGATACATCCTAAAGGATGGCACCATCGACATCTGTCGAGCTTGTCGCCATCCCGGTGAGTCACTTAGGCATGTCATCTCCGGTTGTTCGGCGCTTTCTAACTCTGAGTACTTGCACAGGCACAACCTAGTAGCCAGAATTCTACACCAGGAGCTCGCTCTGAAATACGGTTTCGTGGATCGGAAGTTGCCGTATTACAAGTACTTGCCGGAAGCCGTGCTCGAAAATGATCGCGCCAGGCTCTATTGGGACCGGGCCATCATCACAGACAGGACTATTCTTGCGAATAAGCCTGATATTGTGCTGATGGACCGGGCACAGTCAAGGATATTTTTGGTCGACATTACCATTCCGTGTGACGAGAAACTCGTGAAAGCCGAAACAGATAAGCAAACAAAATATCTGGACCTGGCTCACGAGGTGACCGACATGTGGGGTGGTCTGCCGACCGAAATTATTCCTGTAGTCGTCTCTGCAAACGGGCTAATCCCAGTCAGCCTCTCGGGTCATCTGAGGCGGCTGGGACTACGTGGCGGACCGCTCCAGGCTCAAATGCAGAAGGCGGTGCTCCTCGATACCGCCCGCATCGTCCGCCGGTTTCTTTCCCTTTCCCCCCTAACCCTCGGTCGTTTGGTCTCCCCTGCCGAGGGCTTCCATCTGGTTGGGCTTTTATTTATTTATGTATTTTCATATTTATTTTATTTTATTGATATTTTTGTATATTTATCTTTTCATTTTCGTTTATAATTATATATTTATACATCCCAACCAGATGAGAAAACTATATAGATACCCCACACATAATAGTAATAATAATAGGATATTACTAAAGTTCATGTAACACTAGAATAACATTAATCACATTATAACTTTCACTTGATTTATGGTTTATTAATCCGTTAAAAATAGTTTAATTTCGTAACATTCGCCTAAATATTACAATATCACTTAACGCTATTACTTGCGTAATTTTCACCATTTATACTTTTAATTATACTTTTTAAAAAATGTAAAAGTCCATACTAAAACTGGCAAGTATAGAGTTGGTATAGCGAAATCCAACAGCCCTCTACGGTTTTTCATAATATGAAGATTGTCTTCTGTGAAGTGTCTTGAGCATAGCACACTATTTTTGGTGGGAAACCGTTGGTCCCTTCGACATGTAGCGTCGATCCACATCTTTTCCTTTCGAGGCATTTAGGAAACCTATAACATATAGATACCTCAATTATACGCCACTATTTGTATAAAATAATGACTACAAAAGAAAAGTAAACGATGACCAAACAAATATCGACTTATAAATCACAACACTATCGATACACGTGCTGTCGTTAGACAAAGACAACTATTTTAATTTACGTAATGAGTGAAAGGGACATATTAAAAAAGACATCAACGGGTGCTCAAATGATATCACTTTGCAACATTTAATATCCAGTGTAAGTTGAACTCCGGTGTATTTGAAATAGGTTAACGTGATAAGAATAAAATTTACTTACCGATGAAATATCATGCCATCTTTTTGATAATTGGAGGTCTTAGCTGACTTGCCAACTACAACAATTCACTACATATGAAGCCATTTGTAATGTATTTTGGATACCAAAATTATTTTTTTATTTTCAAAAACTCGGACCTGCCTACGGGTCACAAACTTGGTCGACAATGATATCGTGATTCTTAGCGTCACTTCATATGCTAGCTACAGCAAGTATGTGTTGCGCGCGTTTGTGGCCCTGTATGCGGAATCTATTAGGAGGTAATCTGTGGATAAAAAGCTAGATAGACCAACGCAACTTGGTTATATGTGTGGTATAAAGCTTGCGTCTAAGGCATGGGTATTAATTGATACATTTAGGTCCGAGGAAGTTCACTTCTGCTGCTAGCGCCAAAATGGCGAAAATGAAGGAGGCGGCACGGCATCGCAAGGCATGAGTAGATATACGGAACAGAGATAAAGCTTCATACAACCGTGCGAATCAGTTGCACTACCACAAGCAAAGCCGTGCCAACATTTCTCGGGAAAAAGTCGTCGAGTACCGGGACAAACTAATGTCTGATGTCGAGTCTTTGCTGAACAATGTTTCGGATTGGTGGCGACTAAATCTAGTCCAGTTCGATCCCCAGAAGACCCACATTTGTGCGTTAACCGCGAAAAAGAACCCCTTTGTCGTATCTCCTCAGTTTGAAGGCAATCCCCTTGCTGCCTCAGCTAGCATCGAAGTCCTCAGCGTCGACATATCGAATACCGTGCAGTTTCTTAGTCACTTGGAGGGTAAGGCCAATTGGCCTTTAAAAAGCTTGGCGTGCTCAGCAGAGGGAGACAGTATTTCATGCCGGCACATCGCTTGCAACTTTACAAAGCGCAAGTTCAGCCTCACATGGAATACTGTTCTCATCTCTGGGATGGGGCATCCCAGTGCCAGTTCTCGTCACTTGACCGCATCCAGCGCAGAGCAATTCGAATCTTTGTGATCGCTTGGATTCACTGGCGCTGCTTAGGGATGTTGCATCCATTTGCGTTTTCTATCGCATCTACTACGGGGAGTGTTCTGAGGAATTGTTCGGATTAGTTCCAGCCACCAAATTTCACGTACGCACATCGCGTCAAAATTCACAATATCATCCTTACCATCTGGATACTTGGCGGTCCACTACTGTGCATTTTACTAGGAGTTTTCTTCCTCGTACAACTTCTATGTGACATTGTTTACCACCGGCGATTTTTCTGGACCGATACGACTTGGGGACCTTCAAGAAAAGAGCTTACTCCTTTCTAAAAGGCCGTTAACGCACCTGCAATTTCACTGGTGTTGCGGTTGTTTATGAGCGGCGGTAGTCACCAAGGTGAGCCGCAAGCCCGTTTGCCCCCTCTTCTTTAAAAAAGCACGCTGGGCATGTGTGTGTGACCACTGGCTGCTTTTTGCGTACGCGCGGCACGAATAGAAAAACCGGTTATGCTGGCACAGCTAGTAGACAATCTCAGGGTCAGTGCGACGCACGTTGTTTGTTTTGCTAATTTCAAGTTTGAATATTTTAACGTG